CCCCCCCCCCCCCCCGGTCAATGGTGTCCCTCTTTACCAATGTTAAAATCTGGTCACCTTAGGCTGAACCAAGAATATTTAAAGAACTAATAATATATGCAACAATAAAAGACTTGTGCCAACAAAAGTACCCAGGAAGCTTTCAGCTGTTGCTGATGGGGGAATGACATTGTTGGAGACAGGCATCTCTGCAAGATAGGAGGAATATGTTTTGTATAGTCCTTTGGGCCAAGTTAAAGATACAATTTAATTTCTTCATAACCTACACACTTTTCTGTATGAGTAATGCAAACATTCTTCAAAATGAGATGTTTCTCATTTAATCATTCTGTTTTGTTGGTCATTGACTGAATAAAAAGAATTGTTTTGTATTGTTTTCTCCATGGAATGAAGGATCAGGATAATGGTGTATCCCATTTGAAATTTTTCCAATCATCAGAAGATGGTCCAGTTTGCTTGCATAGAAAATGAAACCACACAATATATAATATTTTGCTTTCTGAATGGCTAGCCATATAAATTGTAGATTAAGATGCTAAATATCAAAGTGAAAACTGAAGTGAAAATAGTTTGGAAGAAGAAGTGCTAAACCTGGAAATAACAAACAGTTGGGGTGGGGGAATCTTTTCCTCACTGTTTTCCTAACAACCATGAGCACCTCAATGCATTCAAGCTGAAAACTATTGTGTTATCTAAGAATCGTTAAAAATAGTACACTATTATTATCTAATAGTGTTACATATATTTTATATTACCACATCTACAATTATTCTTCCATACTGACTTATTCAATTTAATCAGTCATTTGATTAGAATTTTTAATGAAATATTAGGTAAGCTGTGCAATATTTCTAAGTAAAATGATATAGAATTCAATAGACAAGAAACCCATGATGAAAGGAATTCAGAAGCTCTCTTTGCATTTCACTTTTTCTCATCCTAAATAGTTGATATAGAAGTAGAAAGGCTATATTGGTCGAAAAGATATTGTTTACCAGAAAAAGCATCAATTTACCTTGGTTGCAGGTTTTCCCTGTGTATCCAGGGTAACATTTACATGTATCTGGCAACACACATTCACCATATTTGCATCTATCTACACAGATAGCTGTGAAAGGAATGCAAGAAAAGAAAAAAAATGAAACAGACAGAAACTGAATAAACTTAAGATAGTTTCTAGGGATTTGGATTTAGTAGCACTAAAGTAAATGAGGAAAATTGGCATATCCTGGCTTCGGAAATCCTTTGTTCTGCTCTGAATCATGTGACCAGAAGGAAACATTTTTCTGAGTGCAGCAATCAGCAATATTCTAAGCTAGTGTTTTTCAAGATGTGTGGATTTCAATTCTTAGAATTCTGGGAACTGAAGTCCACACACCTGAAGTTGCCAAGGTTGAAAAACACTGTTCTAAGCTGTTGCCCACTGCCTATCCCATTGAAACATAATGGGATTTCCCCCCCCCCCATTTTTCACCCTGCAGCTTCCAACTGAATTCAACTCAATTTCAAACATACCGTATATACTCGAGTATAGGCCGACCCGAATATAAGCNTGGACTTCAACTCCCAGAATTCCCCAGCCAGCGAATGCTGGCTGGGGAATTCTGGGAGTTGAAGTCCAGACATCTTCAAGTAGCCAAGGTTGGGAAACACTGCATTAAATGGTTTGTGTGAGGTGCTGCCGCTGGAGCGGGGGAAGGTGTGATTTTAGTATATTTATTTAGACTTTTATTAGTTTTGTTGTTTTTATATGGGGTTTTATACTCTGTAAGCCACCTTGAGTCACCATGTGTGAATAGGTAGCAATATAAATTTCCTAAATAAATAAATAAACAAACATCAGGTTGTGATTCATGACTTAAATTTGTATTAGAAAATATTACTAATATGCTTATTATTACAAACAGGCTAGTATATTCAGGAAATATATTAAAAATGAAATCAAGGAATAATTTATTTTCAATAGTATGCTAAATATTTTGATTGAAATGGAAAGCTTGGTGATCTTGATTTAAAACACTCATTTGCATTAATAAAATGTCACTGCAGGAGTCTTGTATTTGACTGAACAATTTGCAGAGAGATTCAGCCAAGGCTATGGATGTGTTTATCAATCTCTTCCTCCATACTCAATGGAATGGAAGATACCCTGCCATAGTCAATGGAACAGATCTTAAACATAATGCTGTTTTAAAGATCCATCTGATCTTCTGAAAACAAATGTTTCTTTGGTTAAAACTAGATGGGAAGAACTCAATATAATGACAGTGAAGATTAGGAATATAATAGTTTAGTTTATTTACACACGTATCCCAAACACATGAACAGTATATCTATATAAGTATTTCTAGACCACCCTTTATGGATGCTACGCAATTCACAGCAGAGCAAAAATAAAAACAAAGGCAAAAATTGTGAACCAAAAGAAGATTGCACATACATGAATGAAAGTGCCTGCAATCAGCATAATATCTTCTCCCCCCACTACCCACTGCCTCTCATAAAAACGTCATGGAAGAGAGGATTGAATTGGAAACAAGGAAGAACCTACAGTCCCATATTTCCTTGCAACTACTTGAAAACAATCAGAAAAACTTTGGGAAATAGTGAGTTTCTTGCTGATTTTATTACTTGTGAATCTGTTATCCATAAACAGTTTGTCAGGATTTTTGAGGAAGGGAATGCAATCTGTTACATTAATTAATTCCCAATGCAGTCATTCCCCAATGCTATGGATCCTGTTAGGATTTTAGCTGGAATAGGATCTATGACATCAACCTCTGTGTCTATGTGTTGAAGGCTCTGCAAGCCAGAAGAGCTCATGAAGCATACAATGTCATGTCAAAAACAATATTAGCTATGCCAAGATTTCTTAATATATAACTACCTTATTTTTGACATGGAATAGATACAATGAATGTCTCTGATGTAATGTATCTATTAGAGTCGCAGGAGCCAAAGTCATTATAGAAAGCTCAGATTTTAAATAGCAGAATTCTAGAAATGACAATCTCATATAGTAAAAGAAGAACCATCTAACCATTGAAAAAACTTTGCTTTAATGCTGTGCTCTAGTGTAGCATAAAAACAGAAAGCTTGCATGTGGCTGAACTAGGGTGACCAGACGTCCCGATTTTGGCAGGATAGTCACGATTTCGTACAATTTGTCCCGCGTCCCAGGGCATTCTTAAAAACTCCCGATTTTTATGACCGGACCCGGAAGTAAGCCTGCCCCACCCCCAGCCCTGTATACCCATCCCGGCCGGATGGTATTTTGTCCCTTCTGTCTCC